AAAGATAAAAGTCTTATTAGCCATAGAACGATCATCAAATGTCTCTTTCCAGAACTGGATAGCGAGCTGGGGTAATGGGTTCAAAATTTAAGGCGATATAACGGGACATAAGTATGTTTGCAGACTACTTTAGCCCACGATACGGCCCGTTTTTCGGGCAGAGCCACCTTTAACTCCATTAGCAGCCGCTTATGGGAAAATATTATTAAAATCCCTGCTTAAACTGTCCAAAAAAAAGTTCAAATTTCAAGTCTGGATATAAAACCTCGGTTGGAACCTTTCAGATATGAGCTACTGAGTTGTTATCCAATGTGGTTTTGTTGTTCATGCTGTCCGAGATTGCCTTAAGTTGTAAAGCTGTTGATACAATCTTAGAGTCGTGTGACCATTCTAAGGCAGCCGTATGTTGTCGTGTTACCGTTTATCATGCTGTTCGAGATGGCACTAAATTTTCAGGCTCTAAACAAAAACTACTTTCACATGATCTTGTTTGACATGCTACAAGAGTTGGTTTCAATTTTCCACTCTGTCGACATGGCAACCCTGTTTTTGAACCTCAACTTAAAGTTTGCGCGTTGTAAGCATTTACATAAAGTTACTTGTACTGCTTACAATGCTCCTTGACTTTCAATAGTTAAAAAAAATTTAGTCGCACAATTTTTTTTCGATGAGTATGGACTTAAAGTCTACTATAAGTAGCTCTGGTGCATGTACCGTTTATTTTTTTTCAGGGTTTTCTGACCTTTTTGTATAAAGACTGCAACGTAATGACTTTCCTTTGGATTGTTTCTGTGTATATATTAGAATCTAAGGCTTCCCAAAATTCAAAGGCTAGAAAAAATCGATCGGAGCAGTCACCGATACGTTTTATTGTCGCCGTATGCGAAGAAATATCGATTTGGACTGTTTTGCTCTGCAACGTATAATTTCAAGACAGCACTCTTAAAGCGCCGGTCGTACATACACACACACACACGCAAACACACCATTGGGAATACACACAATTCACTTACTGACTGATTGCTTCACATCTTCTGAGCCAAACTGGTCAATTGCTACGATATCTTTTTGCAGACTGCCGTTAGATTCCACACGTAAAGGAAATGGTTTCCTCTCGCAGCGTAGACGAAGGCGGTTTGAGCCGATACCATGCCCGGGTGTGGGTTTTTATATAGATGAGTTAATTCAATTACAATTTTAGACACACTTGACTTTAAGGTCTTTTCGTGATGGAAACTGCATGCAACATTCATCAAAATCAGTCTTCGGTGTTAATCTACATTGACCGTCTTGCTCGAACCTTCGATATGTTACTATAATTATTCCTGTACAGGCATTCATGTGCATTCCCCGCAAATAACTTTACGGTATCATTGCATATCATCACTCGCACCGCATAACATCTTCAGAACTAATCCTGTAACTGTAACAGCTCAATAAATCTACTTTCAATTGGGTCATTTCCGTGTTGTCACAGTGATTACAGCTTATCGGTCTCTTTGAGCCAGGCACGCTTCTTTGGATGGCCTGGTAATTAGTCAAATACCAAATTGATTGGCAGTTGGATTCTCACAACGTTGTTAGTGTATTGCAACGTTAAAGTCTGCTATAGCACCATGGCCTGAATGCATTTACAAAAGTGTGCCGTACGGCGTCAGAAATATCTTACGCTAAATATTTGAAGGGAGGAAATTTAGTTTCCAGAAAGGAAAACAAGTTTTCTACCCTCTATGTTCACATTCTCCAAAATATTTTTAAAAAAACTGGCTATTTCTTGTTGTTTTCTGTAGAGAATGGCAATGAAAAGTAGCCGAACTTACACGAAACAGGGTTGTCTTATTCAAGGTCTTGCTGTTGGTTGAATATGTTATACGTATTTACTGGTTGATAATATCGTTCATATTACTGAATCGTAAACCGCCCTCTTTTTTGTCATTCACCATGCAACCAATTCACTCCCACCACAAAATGTCGAGTTGTCTAGGGGAAAGTACTAGGAATATATATTTTGAACGCGATGCACTCTCCTAATCACCAGCTCCTCAACTCCCGTAATCGACGACAGACACAGCTTTACCGCGATCTTAAAATGGACACTTTGCATGATTTAGAGCGTGATTCATTTATGTGATAAAATACAACACGCAGCCTACTCCAAGAATACAGTTGAAACCCGGAAGTGGGGTCAAATACATGGCGGCAAACTCAATAGCTTTAGCTTTGTTTTCTCGTTAACACGATTAAGGGTGCACTCTAACCATTTGCAATCTTTTTATGTGAGCATCATGAAAATAGGAAACACATGGAAAGTGACCCTCCTACTTCTACGGATACTGCAATCACAAATTTTCACTTTAGACCTGATTTTTTTTCAGTTACATGTTCACGCAGTTATTCCTGAAGTCATAAGCTTTTAATCTCGGTGAAAATGCTAATCGACTCACCTATACTCTTTTGGTATAAATCAAATCACGTTCTTTCACAAATACTGCGGTCTAATTAGCTGCTCCTCTCGCTATCTATTCCATGGTGGCTCATGAGTTGGGAGAGTCGCTTAAAAGTGTGCGCGCGGTTGTAAACAAAATAAAGGTAAACACGAGTCTGTCTTGTTGTGAAGTTATGAAACACTGTATAATCATTTTCTACTAAAACAATTAGATTATTCACCTTGATTTCCTTGCGTGATGGTCGAGTCGAGCTTCTCCCTCATCAACTATAAGGCGATAGAAATCTCGAGTTCGTAATCTGATTGTTTAATGGACTTTTTTTGAATTGATTGACTACCTCAGCCCTGATGCAGCTGTGTGGTTTTTGATAGGAGTTGCGTGTGTAGGCAGAGGTCGAGCTTAATGCGCTGTTTAAAGAGTTTTATCTTAATCGTCGTTTACCGCTGAAAATGGTGATAACAAACCGCTAAACGGGCCGGACATACGTTGCTTTACCATTACGAGGCACGTCTTTTGTTATATAGTTGTAGTGGCCGATCAGCTAAAGATGTCTAGAGCCCCAAACCGGGCACACAGTTGCCTTGTACTCTCATTTTGGGAGCAAGAGGTTGTAATAATTTGCAAAAGAAATAATTTTTTTTTCACCCTTGGATCTATTCTGGATCAAAGATTTGAGGTAGAGCAGGCGTAGTCGGGGGGAAATTTTTACTATTTGCTTTTGCAATATGAACTTAATCGTGGAACTAACTACAATTGATTTGCAAATTCTTGGTAAAAAATGCGCGGAGCTAAAAAGAATATTTTACACCGGGTTTAACTTATAGAATTAGATTCAAAGTTTCTAAATGGCAGAGCAATGTTATCACTTAGAACCAGGAGATAAAAAAAAGTTTTAGACGGATCAAGCAGAGTGGAATGTGACGCAGGTTAGATGATTGTCATTGTTGATCATTGCAATGCGAAAAGTAATAATCTTAAATCAAGTAAGAAGTTAATCATTTAACCCTTTCACCCCCAAGATCTAATTAGTAATTCTCCTTACTATCTGCCATACAATTCTTATAATGTTAGTTCAGAGAATTTGTTATTGGATCAACAAATAATCCCATAATTGATATTCTTCTCTATTCTCATCACCTGCCTGCTTGATATTGTATTGATTTTGTAAGGAGAAATTCTGTCTTGGTCACTTGTGGGAGTGAAAGGGTTAAACGTCATACAAAAGACGTGAAAAGTTGAACAGAAGCATGGTAGTGATTTATTATAAAAAATTCACTGCATCTGATCTTTGACATCCCTTCTTCCAGAAAAACCGGCAGACAAATTCAGATAAAAATTACAAACAGTTTGCGAAAAGCAAAGGAGAGCAGCTGGCTGCGTTGAATTGGAGATCCCACGTGAGACAACTATGAAAACGGACGGCAAATCCCCCTATGCATACTTGCTAGCCATTTTGTCGTTTGAACGAAAAATGAATGTCTCTCTTCTACTTGCTGCTACCAAATATGGAAGAGACGTTGAGCAGAAAACTCCCTGTGGGGGAGAGGGAGAGTAAGAGAGTTCTGAAAGAATAAATGATTTTTGAACCAATACGGGTTTCCTTTGCAGTTCACTGATACCCATTTTTACACTTGCGTGGGGACAGAGGCTTAGTGGAAAGAGGCTTAGTGGTCTCGAACCCAGGCCTTTGAAGGTGAAGCTGCGCGCGCTAACCATGACGCCATCGCGTGTAACGTGGAATTTTTCCACAAGCATTTTGATCAATATCTTAGAAACGATGATAATGGGAAGACTTGGCGTTTTGGTACAAATTGATGTTTGCGACCGTTTGCGAAGTAAAACTTAGTCCAAAATCTTGGACTGAGAGTCGAACCGATTCCGAACAATTGCGTTGAAAGGAGATTACGTGAAATGTTGATAGAGACTTCGGATTTGAGATTACGAAACCGATCGACTGATAAAGGCGAACCAGGCTTGGACTGTACTCATGAAAAGCTTCTTGTAGTTTTAAAGAAAATAATTATTCGTTTTTAGTTACCAACAAATTACACCAGGGTCTGTGATGCAGTCGAAGACGGACATTTTCCACTTCCTTTCCAGTTTTAGCAATTTTTACCAATGGTACAATCATAACAGGCTACGATTAAATTTTCTGTTTTTATACGGAGTAATACGTTCCAATTCAAAGGAATTATCCTTAAGAGCGATTATTCTTTAAGAAGTTGATTCAAAGACTAAACAAGCATTTGATAGAAACTATAAAAACAGTTAAGTCAACCAGATTAAAGAACCTCTTTACAGTAAAAATTTGAACAATTTTGTTGAAAATGTACTCACGGCTTTCTTTGTCGAATTCCCTTCCCAGACAAGGAGCAAAACTAAAAGAAACTTGGGGCGGGAGGCAATTCATTCACTACACTACGCACTTCGTTACAGCTATCCCAGTAAAATCTCTGAAATATTCTATACATTCCAGACACTTCTGTGTCTGCAAAAAAAATTGCTCTATCTGTTTCTTGTACATTGAATTATCTGCTAAATTTTCTCAACATTTAAAGGTTGCCTATCGTCGCCGGGAGTTTGCACTGCAAGAAATGAAAGATTTAGCACCTGATGCGTGAAACATTTTTTGCTGCGATTCAACAAAGCGTGACCTTAAAGAATTTTGACTTATTCCTTATGAGTTTGACCGCTTACCTTGACTGAAATACCTCCGTACTCTTGTTGCAGAGCGCGACTACCAGCAAGGTGGAACACAGCCCAGGTGACTGAGATTTTGCAAGGAAAGAATGCAAAATTATGACGTGTCCGTTTGTCGCCAAAACAAAATCTGTAATTGAAGAATACTTTGTGAAATTTCCGCCAATTAAGAGGGAGACACTAGGCTGAAACTATTCCAAGTACTTGTCACTTAGCGTGACGAGAGCGGCTTGTCTCCTATACAGAACCGTTTCAAGTGCACTTTTCGCTTTCTCTTCTCTGTTTTTAGATTTTGAAAGGAAGCCTCACAAGCCAGTATATGTACATTTGACAAGGTAAACCTGCGTGAAGCTCTTCGCAAATTCTCCCCGCATATTGACCTGTCCGGGGTCAATTCACGAGGGTAACAATGTCCGCCCCACAATCGGATTATCGTTTGTTATGCTTTCCTTGCCAGCAAGCCGCAAAACATTTTTCCGCAAGTGTATCAGATAAGTTCTTTAAGCACAACGATATCACCAACAATCGAGTCCTATTTGTTCTCAATGTACGATTTGAATTGATTACAATGCAAGAAAAGAGGGCTCAACTCCCCGAGGAACCTTCAAAACATCCTAAATAATATTTAAGAGAAAAATGCCAGGCACTTCAGGAAAAATTCACACGAATTTTGTTTACGGAACATATACCAGCCTTGTCCCGCGCTCGTGACAAGACGGATGACACCTTTCTTTAATAGTTATGTAACATCTTCACCCGCCCCTCCAAGGCTAAGTTACATAAGGAACCAGTTTGAAATTGTTGCAATAACTACATACAAGAGAATATAAGTACATCTATGTTTTATGACGTGGGCCTCCGCCCTTTCCGATCACATTTTTCTTATCACCTGCGTGTATAGCAGCTAGCGCAACGATCATTGCTAGGAGAAAGCAAGTTTACTTCGACAACTACACACTTCCCGGTGTTAACGATAAAACCAAGCCCGAAAACTTTTCCTCTTTGAAGTCTCCCTGTATATGATACCTCTTTTTGATCAAGAAACTGGCATTCGTTTGCCATTGAAATTTCGTATGTAGGTTTATACTACTAAGGCGTTTTAAGGCGTAAGAGAAACTCTTGACCAGCGCGTTGCATCACGTGCATTTGTTCCGTTATTTGGGAACTTGTACTTCCCTTTCTTGGCATCGTAACTGGCTGAAGAAAGGAAAGCGCGAAACTTGGTCTTAGTTTAATGCTATACAGTATCCAATTTGTTAATGGTGAAGCAAGTGATCACGACATTTTTCGACGCATTGAGCTGTTGATACGGAAGTCGGCGTTAGACGCCTCTATGCTTTCAAATCTTCCTTGCAGACATTGTAATCTGCGGAAGTGAGTACACACTGGAAATATTTTTTTCTCTTATTTTAGTTTGGCCAACTTTCTGCGTTTTGGTTTAGGACGATGCAAAAAAAGGGTTTCTCAATCAATTTTTAACTTCGTGGATGTAAGGGTTTTGTTGCCATGACGATTACGTAGCCCGAAAAAATTGAGTTTTGAACCAAAATATATTCATAGTGAACTTAAAAGCCACCACGATGTAGTATGAAGAACAATGCGGCCGGAAATTTTAACTGTCATTAAAGAGTTGCTAGGTTACGCAGGTTTACCATGTTTGACTTATTAGCAGAGTTCTCATCTCTGGTGCGTAGAGCGATGTTTTTTTTCCGTATTTGTATTTGTAAATAAGGTGGTAGCCTTGGTTTTTAAAGTTAATCCTAATCCTAAAAGACGAGTGTTTTCAATGCGGATTACTAACAGTCAAGTAGTTGCGGGAACTTCCTAGAGTAATTCTCTTTAAGCCTTTCCTTGATCCGTAAAATAAATAAATATACTCCATGTTGCCGTGCCTATTTTCATTAATAGATCACAGATGACGTCAAATTGTGGTGAGAACAAAAAAAATGGCATACGAGGTGCAGCCTGAGAGCTGATGTTCTTACCACGTTTTGACATCTATTGTTATCTGTTATCGTGCAGACCCACGGCAACATGGAATCTATTTGTTTGATATGATAAAAAAAGTTAAATGTTGTTAATGGTAACGACATGTAAGCGTCTGCCCTCTACTATGAGTATTAAGTAATCAAAATGCGTTCAAAGCTAGCCTATTATATAATCTTTGTTATTCTGTATGTGCTGAAACAAATACGCTCGTCCTTCCTTGAGATGTAAAAGAAGTGCGAAGCATAAGCAAAAGACAAAACGCATCAAGTGCTATTGAGAGATTTTCATTTCGGTACCAGGCAAAATATTTCTCATAAGTTGAGTCATGTTTTTCACATACTGATAGGTTGATGTCACCACAAAACACAGGGGCAGAAGCACTAGAAGGGGAAAAAACTACTCTGTAAATGGATTACATAACATATTTTCGAGTGTGCAACATTAAAGACAGCAGACGACAGACGCCGCCATTTTGATTATGACTTAGCAGCCAGGCCCTCTACTTGTGACGTTGTAAGCCTCAGACAACAAACGTACATAGCTAAGTGCGCATTTTATTTCCCGCCATTTTAGCTCATTTCAGAGACGCTAGTGGTCGAACCTTGATCACCTTCCCCCTCAAAAAGACATCATTTTCATGCCGCGAAATGATGAAAATTCTCCGCTCAAGACCCTGAAACTAAATCCTGTCAGGCGGTACATTCCTCTTAAACCAGCTACCTATGGAAATAAACTATCGATTTACTTGTCACATATCATAACGCGCGTAGTGTTTCGGTTATCTTAAACTTGCTATCGATATTGTTTAGGCTGGTACTGAGTTGCGACAAAATTGATAAGTTGATAACTTCCGTGCACTTTGATATTACAACACAAATCGCTTAACGCTGATGTTTGTCAAGAATTAATTGTTTATTTTTTAAAATGGCATACAAAAAACAACACATATTGCACACGCTTTTACCTGGTTTTAAGTCATTAAAGCCATTAAATGACCAGTCAAAGAACAAGTCATGAGAAACTTTGATCTTCCGAACACCAAACAGAATTTGTAAGGTCATTGTCGGTAGAGGTGTGATACGGTGCTAGATGGATTGCACCAGATGGATTACCGTTATTTCAAAAGTAGAAATGTCGAGGCATTAGTGATTGCCCTGCCAAGTTACTTTTCTTTTTTTCTTTGACAAAATTGTTTTGAACTCAGCTATTAAATTATAGCGAATGAAGAAATAAAATCCCATTTTTACCTCGTCATTCACCACCTCTTCATGTGATTTTTTTTTCAGAAGTAATTATTGTTACGAAATCGTGAAAAATTCTCAAAATGTAATATTAAACATCTTACAACAATTAACACTGGCGGAACTCAGCATCTTTAATTTCCATACGGCATGCACTTTCGTTTGAAGAGAAGCTTGGCTAACTGTTAAAATTCAGTCTGCGTTGAGGTGCAATGTGCATGGTGCATGTAGCAACCCTGCAGTGATTTCCGCACGGAAAATTAGCGACGGAGCGAAATAACCTCACGTAATCTGTTAATCGGATCATTTTATAGTACAAATTGTTTACGCATAAAATACGTTTAGCATGTTAAGGGCTGATATGGTACAAACAGAATAAGCGCTAGCTAGCCTCGTTCGGTGAGCGTAAAGCGAAATCTCGTGTAGGAACAGGTGTAAGGTTGTGCAGAAGTTACAAAAAGGCGATTTGCTTCTGATAAAATTTTACAAGTCGAGGTGTTACTTGGTGAGCTCAAAGGTACACGAATGAGTCGCACACCAAATTGGAAACAAATGCTCGTACGTTCTCTTTATCGTTTCAGAAATCGTATCACTTTTATTACTTACCTAACCCTAAGCAAATTCATGATGGTTATTGCGGAACTAATGAAGCTGCAGCAAACAGCCCTTTCTCACTACAAAGACGTATGATGGCGAAACACATGAAAGTAGATTACGATTAAAAATTAACTCGATCGAAGGGTAATATATTAGAATGTTGAACAGCTTAATTTATGTTCACTGCTTCCAGTTTTCCTTTCGAGCTAATTTTATAGAAGGCGGGAAAAATTCAGAGAACTCAAGGAAAGGTGAACTTGTTCTTGTCCGGCCACACAATTTCCAGCACAGTAAAGGTATATGTGAAACCGTCGACGCGTCTAGGGCGGTGTAACCTGGGTAGGCGAGGACTAATGATAGCTATTGAGCATAGTTATACTTTAAGTTTTTTTCACAATGACTTACCTGTTAAGAGAATCTCCTAAAAAATCACAGCAAAATAGTATTAGGCAGCCTCAGTTGGTTGAAACAACCTAAAGTGAAACCCATTGAAAGCAAGCAAGACACATCAGAAAGGCTACATGTCAGTCAATGTCATTTTGACTTCTGTTTTGTTCAATAATAAATCAACCGGAAATCACACGAGGGTATCAAACAATGAACATTTCCTGTTCTCGACTGAATTTGTTAGACTTGTTACCCGTACCGTAAAACTGTTTGACAAACGTAAAATTTGATCGTGCTGTAATTACACAAGAACATGAAATGCAAGAAACTGAAGCTTTAGTTCATTTGGAAAGATGCTGCGGAATGTACGTGTAACTTTCTGCTATTACGCTTCTTTGTCTTCATTGTTCCAAAATGAAACCGAAAAATGCCCTTTTGATTTTAGTAAAACTGTCTACGACAAATTATTTTTACCTTCCGCCTGTGACAAACCCTTAAGTAAATTCACTGCGAAAAGTGCTTTGGAGAAAGATAATAGAATTAGCACTTATTTAACTATATCGTTACACACATTCGACAATAATCCCTAAATAAAGCTAAATTCCTTGTCGCTTAGAGTAAAACGGTGAACATACCACTTTTTATCCTTGTCTGTAAAGAAATTCCTTTAGGTTATGGGGTTTTGTCAAATTTTCGTCGCGTTAAGCTGAAGTAAAGAAGGCGGATGGGCTAGACAGTATTTACTGACACACACCGAAGGTATAAATAGCTGGAGCTTATCCGCGCGCGTTGGTCACGGCTGGAAACGAAAAACCGCCCTATCCTCGATGAAATCACTGTGAAATCTGCTCTAATGATGTCAGATTGTCAGATGATGCGGCACTCCACACAGAGATACAGAGTAAACTAGTGATAATAATCAAGGTTTGATAAGGAAAAACACGCTTACTGAAAGAGCAAATTGTCCCCGCAAAAACACCAGCTTCTACGGAAATCACATAAACGAGCCTGGGTTGAGTCCATAGTACGCGGTATTTCTACTCCAGGAGTTGAAAGTTAGTGACTCTCAGGGCGTTACAGAGCTGAGGACATCCATCTAAAAAACGGACCGGAAACTGGATATGCTTTAGATGGACAGTAAACATTTAAGTCTGTGTGGTGTGCTTCCTCTCATTGTTATTTTTTATGCACCTCTTTGAATCTGGGAATCTTCCGCTGTTTGTTGCAAAGCTAGGAGATTTTATCTCATCAGCTAAAAGACTCGATCGGCAATCCTTTGTGTGGGGTATGTTTTTTCTGTTGTTTGCCGCGATGTCAATAGTGTATCAAACCGGCCTCCTTTCTTTGACCCTCTCTGTTACACTAAGCCTCCCTTTCTTCACTTTAGATGATAAACCTCTCTTGTCAATAATTCGGCCGTGTTGGAAAGAGCGAGATTTTCCCCTTAGGTCTCTTGTCGTCACGAGAGGGCCAAAATGAAGGAATTTAAGGCTCGTTTTTTCTCCGAATTTGAGAGTTCCCCAATATCCTTTGATCAAAGCATTCCGGTGGCCAAACCAACACAAGATACCTCGAGGTGTTTTTGTAAGTTTTCGCAACTCCTAGGCCGAGAATGGCGTGCACAATTCCACTGGCATCCTTTTCATTTCAGCAAAGGAGTTCGAGTCTCCTTTGCCACCTGGCCATGGTCAAATCGCTGATCAATGATACTCACATCTTTGTAAAAATGGGCAAATTAAGAGATTCACCATCTTTTTTCTCCCCAACTCCTCGAAATTGAAATTGTTTTGCCATTTATTCAACTGAGTCTGCAAATAACAGCTGAAAATCTGGAAAATGCGATGTCTCAAGTGTTACGAAACAGACTGGGCTTACCACCCCAAGGGCAGTTTAGGCAATGAAATGATTAACGACATGTTTCAAAAGAAAGTTTCGACCGATTCTCTTTCAATCACCGTTACGCAGCAAGCTTTTTCTGGCAGTAAATTGCGTGTGGTCTGCAAATTATCTTGATGTACTGTACACGATTCTGCTGTAGAAAACCTCGATAATCCTTTGCATCCAATTAAACATAACAAGCACCAATTTCCTCCTCGCTGTCAAAGTTATCGGTGCTTTTTGTTGCGTAATTGATCCACGATCCACACATGGTTGGCATCTGCCTCCAACGAGGGGGGTAGCACCTGGGAAGGATGGGGGGGGGGGGGGGTGACTTCGGAGAGGTTTGATCCTTTGTAAGACAAAATTAATTCATCCCACCACCATAACAAATTTCATGAAAATTGATAGGTAGATTCCACGTTGCCGAGCGTCTGTTCAGTAATAGATCACAGATGGCGTCAAAATGAGTTAAGAACAAAATAGTGGCACAGGAGGACCACATTTTTTTTTTAAAATCTGCTGTGACCTTCTACTGTGCAGACCCGCGGCAACATGGAATCTGCTTGTTTTATATAATAAAGAAGCAGAAGATTTTGTTATGGCGACGTCATCCAAGCGGTTATCCTTCAACAGATCATAAGTAAGAACGAGAGAATTTCAGTTGATATTTCTCTCAGTAAGAACCAATCAAAATGCCGGTGTGATACAGCTTATCATATAAATTTCTATAAACTGCGGCAAAACGACCTCATACAGTTACATTCATTGACAAAGTATTAAGAATCAGGTCTAAAGAAAAGCTGCATTTTGACGAGATTTGACCCATCTGGGACCGCGCCCGTAACCGAGCAGGATTCCAGACCAGCACACGTTTCTACATGTTGGCCCTGAGGTTCAACACAAGGCCAGGATGCCGGCTAAGAAATGTTCAAAGTTTAAAAACGCACGTGCTAAGCTATCGTTCCGCCAATTAGTTCTTTTGCATCGTCACGTCCTCGTTGCCCGTCGCCGTCGTGGTCCCCTACCTTGCCGCCGTGTGATCATACCCATGACCCTGACAAAAATGTCAATGCGCGCACACGCGAGAAGAAGAGGGGTATTATCGAGCACTGGAGTTTTTAAGGTGGTCGTTGTTGTTGCTGTTTTTACCGTATCGATCTGATATCTTATGTGCAGTCGGGAAGTGATTGTTGATGATATTTTTTAGAACTGATGGTAAGTCATGAGTATGAGGGTCTTGTGAATACAAGCAACCTTTGCACTTTATCGAGGAAGTCTGGGTCATATTTCTTGCTCGTCAAGTCCTCGTGGTCTGCACTCTTTGATTTTTTAAACGGAAAAACGCACGGAATTTGAAGACGTGTAAATGATAAAACTTAAAATCTGCCTTTAACTTTTCAATATTCCGGAAATAAACAAAGTGTTTAAGGCAATTTGTAGAGAACAGTGTGTGCACTTCTTGCTGTTGGGGACGCACAGCATGAACTGTGGATCTGTGTGCAGTTGTCAGAAGACTGAAGCGTGTGGGTTTAGTTGACAGGTGATAACTTGTTATTTCCTGTAAAAGGTCATAGTCACGTCAGTTTCCATGTCGAAACGCGTCTACTTTTCTTGTAAATCAGGGAACAACAACTAAGAATAAATAGGGAGATTTAAGGATGAAAGAATCTGTTCGCCAAAATTGAAATTACATTTTTCTTTTGTACTAATGAACTTGTTTTGACTCCTAGTTTTTCGAAACAATAATTTTATTACAACAGAACTGAACTTCGAACAAATACGTTTTATAAACTGGCTGTTTTCAGTTTCTCTTTATTTCGAGCTTTCGTTAGCATGTTTGTTTGAATGAATATCTTAAAATGTCTTCAAACTTATTTCAAGCAACAAACCAACCGTTCTGACGATAACCATTTAGTAAGAAAACGTTTGCTATTAAACGTGATAGCACGACACAATTTCTATGCAATAATTATTTCTGTGATGAATTTGCTTTTTTCTTATCTTCCTGTGAAATATTTTGAATTTGCTTTCCCCACGCATCCTATGATATCTATCTTAATGAGAATAAAAGCCTTCAGTTGAAACACTTACGATTCAAAAGTGAAAAATAAAATCAGCTGTTTTCATGCTATTTGGTGTGTATTATTTTCGCCGTACGAGTAACCTCTCACAAACCAGATGCGTGAGATGTATTCAACGTAGAGGCGTAATGCGTCAATTCAAATTCAAAATAAGTGCAAATTAGGTCTCAAAAACAAAACCTTTTAATGTACTTTGTTACGAACCTGCGTCAAACACGGTAATAAATGCGGAAAGGGAAAGAAGGTTTTCTATTAAAATTGGGGAACTTTCAAATTACAGTTTATTTCCCCGCTCCAATCAATATGAAAATACATTTCACTGACGCATACGGTGTGTTCTCGTGTCGGCTTTACTCTTTTCAAGAGAAACAGGTTTTCAACTTCGATTAAACTCACGTAACCTTTTTACCCATGAGTTAGCTAAGGAGACTAATTTTTCCCCGCTTCATTAAATAGGATGAATGTGTCTCGCGTTTTTCTTGTTTGCTCATTGAATTAACACTTATCGCAATTAAAAACTCCACGTAAATCCACCAGTGACTTTGTTTGGTTACGTCACCAATAACTTCTCCTATATTTGTTTTCCTAGATGACTTAAATTAAAAAACAAAACAAAAAAACCAAACACACTCACGCACCCTCCCACGTCCAAATTTTAATAATTGATAGCAATTTCATTGCAAACTGAAACTACTCAAAATGTAATCTTCTTCTTCAATGTTTCGTCTATTAACATTTTCATTACCAAATGAGACATCGAAGTATTTACAAAGCATTCAACTTTTAAAAGCATGCTCTCTTGAAATCAATCGTGTGACCTACTAGTTGATTCATGTTAGCGTGGGCGATGACCAAATTACTTACAATCGTCTCTAATGTATTACGTTACTGCTGGCTGACCCCATTGTCAGCTCAATAGACTCTCTTTGCATGAAAGTCACGTCCGAATTCCAACAGCTATCATCAGCTTGCCAAAAATTAGCACATATTAAACGATTTTCGAACCTTTGCGCTGAGTCACCCCACTCGATAAAGAGAATCTTCGCCTATTTCAGGCGCATAAATTTTGAACTATTTAAAAATTACAGTCCTATTTCTTCTCCTATCAGGAGAATCTTCGTGATCTTTCTGGAAAGTTTACATCTCGTGTTCTTTGATGTCTGAAAATACTACATTTACATGAGGCAGAGTTTCGCTCGGCCTCCCAGAGTCTATGATTCGTGTGTGTGTTTTTTCATAATAAATGAAGTAAATTCCTTGTCTCTGGAGGCACGATCCTCTTTGCCACGATCGTTATTGTGGCGCGTAAAATATTTTGTTCCATTTATACTGGAATTAAACTAGATCTTCTCTGCTCAACCACAGCGATCTCCTCAGAGTAGCTTTCCTGAATTACAGGCAACATTCGTGAACTTATTTTCCTCCTTTTCGTTTTCACTGCAGTTCTTTCGTTCTCAGGCTGATTGTCTTTAAAAACTCTCAACCACTCTTGTTTCTCTTCAGACGTCTCGGCCCTGAAGCATAAAAATCCTGCAGAAGAACCGATTCGCTCTCCGTGCGGAATCAGAGTAAAAGATGTCTCGTCGTTTTCTCTCAGAGCACAGGACTTAAATCGCAGAAACGCGCGAGCTTTTCTCCCAACGAATGACGAATCTGTGTAGAATACGATGAACGGGTCTGACACGTTCGTATACGCCTCAGCCATAAGTCTGACTTGACGGCTTGGGTTTTTGTCAGTAGTCAGCGATAAATAACCAGTCTTGGTTGCAGACATGTTTTCGTTCATATTTCCTTGAGTTTCCTCTCTGAACGGACGAGTTACTTTCGCAGAATTTTTATAAACACAACTGTGATCAGATTAACGCAAGGGAATGCAGCCAATATGAAAACGTATGCATGTAGACTGCCTTTTATTTCTCACAATAGGAAATGACGTAATGATCCTACAAATAAACCAGTAAAGCGGAAATTTTTCCTTGTTTTTTTCTGTTCTTATTCTACTTTCCGTTTCGTGACGTTGGCGTTACCATGGAGAAGACATGTCACTACGTGACAAAACGTGTTCAACGCGCCTTGCGTTACCCTAACACATTTTTCGCGTCGTTTCCAGAAATGCTCTAATCTTTCATAGAAGTTGAAAATCACAAGGCGTTATGAAATTCTCTTCTTATTTTTATTGAATTCCAAAGCGTGCAAGGCCAAATTTAGCGTGAATCGTGGCTTGTTTTGGCAGGCGTCGCGCAAACAAAACCCCCAAAAATTGTCGCTTTTACCGGAAGTGGGTTAACTTTCTGATATTACTGTGACCAATATCGTAAAAAATATTTAATTGGACATGCTTTTTCGGGAACACATAGCCTTGTTTAGATGCTGATATAATGTTTTGGTCTTTGTTGATCTTGTGCGTACGTGTGAAAACGCAAAAAGAGACAAATAAGCGAATATTGTAATTAATTAAACCACTTCAATTTACGTTGTTTCTTTTCTTTGCGTGAAATGGTCTGAGATCATTTCGACGTAATTGCTTTGAAAGTAAACACTAGAATACAGCTGGAAGGTACGTTCTAACTTGTATTTGTTCTAATAAAACTTAAAAAAAGAATTGCTATTTACAGAAATTTGTCGCTGTCCGATGTTTGGGACACACCTGGGAAGGAACAGGGCTGAATCAAAACCTTAAAAAAAGTTACGAACTTGATTAAGAAGTATCTAAACAGAAAGTTTGAATTTAAATATGTCACAAATTACTTCCTTCTTTCTCCAGCTGAAATCTGATCAGGTTTTACGCTTCATTATGTCTCCAAATAAGGCTTGTTCAATCAAACATGATTAGATATTTATTCGAATTTGTAGCTGAGACGAAACTAAAATTACTGTAATGTATATTTTAAATCGACTGCTTTTATTTGAAATACCTCAGTTATGAGGCAATGTAAGGCTTAAACGCTTATTTGAAAGGAAAAGTCGCGGTTAATTTAGAGAATTTGACGTCCATGTTTGTGCCGCCAAAACTTATATGTGAACGATTAGACCTAAAACTGATTTTTTTTATGTTCGTCGAAACTTAGGTCGGGTCAGGGACTCGAGATTCATAACTACGACTCATTCTCTTGATCTAGTTTCTATACTGTATTCGAGTTTCGTGTACATAGAAACCTTTTTTATTTCCTGCGTCAAATGATTATATATAACTGAGATTTACTCCAACTTAACTTTGAGTTCAATATCTGTTGGGCGTGAATTGATTCAGTGCCAGTGACAAGTTTTCATACTGCGACGCCTTGAAAGGAAACAACTTATGCGTAATGTTAGCACGAAGTTGGAAATTAATCTCCGCTCATGATTTCCACTATTTCAATACTTCCACAAGATTCATATCGCAGGTGCCGTTGTGAGGCTTAATTGCTTTGAAAGTCATTCATATAATGCATTTGAACTAATCGATTTTCGAGAGATCAACCAAATTGGTGCGATATAAACATGTATCACATAACAATATCATTACTACTCTTGGCGAAGTCGTCGCCAAGTTAAATATTGAATTTTACTGAAGACTGAAACTGACCCCGCGGCCAGAGATCACGCGAGGATGCAAGTTACACAGAATGGAGACATGAATGAAAACTCAGCTGCTACGTAGGACTTGTTTCATCCTTTTCCGATATTTTTCAAGGTTTATTAAAAGACTTAAAAAGTCTCGACTCGATAATGTTGCGTTAAATTCGTGTTTATATTGTGATATAATGATCGATTGTGGAACGAACTTTTGAGATTAAAGGTCGGTCTCACATGATATTCTCTGGCGAAACTAGAAAGGAACCGATAAATTTTATTGATACTATTGGTTTGAAAAATTGATCTTGTCTCTCTAACCATTGCAGGTTTCGGATACCTCTGGAAACAACATGAGGTTCATATATTAGCGCTTTCCATTGATAGACTATTTTTGCCTGTCGTTTTTGTAGAATTCTCGGGATATTTGTGCAACAAGATGTTAATTAAGAAACAATAATTTGCTTCTAGAGTCCACTAGTCACTTTTAGGGAAGATTAGAAAAGGAATCATTGAATAAACGCGTGAAAAAGGCACAGAACTGTTGGTATCATTATTGAGAAAGGGCCAATATAACTTACTTTTTGTGATGAACACAGTCAAGTAAAAGGCGGATACAATTGTCTTACTGTAGGCGAGTTATGTCGACCGCGCCCGAAAGAGTAATTTTGGACGCAAACGAAGACAAATGTGGTTCAATATCAGAAGATACAAATTGTGAAATTAATATTAGTATTACGGGCAAACCGAGTTCACTACGTAAAAATGCGATATGTTTAGAGGTAAAGAATTATGAGGACTACTTAGCAACTAAGTTCCTACCACCTACGACTACAAATTACCAACCCGCATGCAAACAAGTTAATTCTGATTAACGCAAATTTCAAGAGTAGGAGTAACAGTACTAGTGTTTTCATTTTGTGGCCCTATCACACCGTAACGCCTACAATAGTAGACCTTTTAAGGGACATGAGAAATTTTATTGAGAGAAAAAGGCGAGTTTGTAAAAAAAATACTCTTCAAAGGAAATAGCTTGAAGTTCGTGAGTTCGAGGTAATATTTATGGTAACCGAGTGCAGTTGAGGAAGGTTCAACTGTTGAAATATGTTTTTTTTAATTGTCGTCCGAAGTTTGGGAATGTTGCGATAAATGCAAATTTTTTTCTGGTCTAATGATTGAAGTGAAGTTAACGGAAAAGTTATCGATTCGGCTTCGACATTTAAAAGTGCTCGATCGCTCAGGCAAAGTGGAAAATAGTGATTGTGATATAGTTCATTGGCCTCGTTCTCTAGGTCACTGATTTCAGCAATAAACATTCTTACTACTTTGAAAAGGCCAAGGCCTTATCTATTCAAGGTGTACATATAATATCAAAAGAATTTCAAGCTTGTCACGTGAAAACACTAAAAAAAAACATGTTTACTTCAAATGAAAGTCAAACAGTCATGTCTCATGGACCAACTTAAGTTCTGTCTCACTGCAGCTTTTGTTCAGTGGTAGCTGAAATTAAGCGCGGAATCTGAGGGTTTGGGGTTCGACTCTCAATGGGAACTAACAATTTTTTCCTTCGCCCCACGCTCGTGACAAGACTCGTAAAATTGTTCTAAACACGTTTACTTGTTTTTCTAATTACACCGTGTCACGTACGTCGAGGCCACATCGAGTGCGGTCGGAATTCTCGGATGGTCTGGAATGTAGTCGATGAGTCGCCGATTTTTCCTCGGTTTAATTAATGGCAAAGGACAAATATCTCGCGTTCTCGACCGGTGCCTTTATTATTGCGCCACACATTTGAAATAAAAGGCGCACTGCGAGTCAGAGTTACTTGTATGATCTCGTATCATTGGAATGCGACAGGAGGCATCGACGATAAACAATTGTACCTGATAATGTTCAATAACATCAAAAATTTTTTGCACGCTCTCGTTCCTTTTTGTTTGTTTTTAGGTGGCTTTAGTGAAACAACTTATCATATTGACAAAGAGGTTCTATTTTGTTCGCTCCTGGTGATCGTTTTGCCAGTTTCTCGGTTCTTTTAGGTACAACTGCACAATACCATGCTAGTTAAAATAATGTTATCCCATAAGGAAATGTCTCAAACTCAAGAGAAATCTAAATAATCTCGTAACATTTGATAGACAGGGCTTTTAAGATTTTTGCATGACGTTCATATTTTTTTAAATCTTATTGATGGAATATTTGCTTATCTTGAACTGGTACATGTAAGCTAAACATTTTTCTTAAGCTCGACAAAAACTTTTTACAATGGACTATTTATACAACATATAAAACCCGATATGAAATTAAATTAACACAAAGTACCCCACACTAAACGCGAGAGACCTGCTTTCATTTAAGTCTACAAATTTGTAAAGTGATGGGACGAAGTTTCTTATTTAAGTCAATTTTTCGAAACATCTTTCTCAGAACTTAACTTTCCGGTTAATATTCTGAATGAATCTTCGCTGGAATTCTCTGACTGTTCATTAATTAGCTTTGCAATGGTCACTCGCTATGATAACAAAACTTTGACTTTGTCTGTTTGTTCCGTAGCCCCAGTCTTAGCGGTCGAATAATCATTTCCTTAAGGCCTTCACGTACCACTTTTCATGCCATTCTGTAGCATAACCTGAACTGAACAATTTCCTATTGTTGGACAGCTGAGATTTCTTAGAGGACTTTGGCAACTTCACCTTCTTCTTCGTTGGTACAAACTTTTTGGGAGAGCCCAGCTGCGCAGATTTTTCCCTCGCATTCTCGTTTACCACCAAAGGAGGCAGCTTGTTCGATTTTTCCTCTTCGTCTCGCTTCCAAAACGACAACCTGTCGAAGCCGAAGATCGGGCGATCTGGAATGCGATGTGATGCGCCCAGCGACATGATCAACTCCTCTGATTCCAAATGCGTCATATAATCCGGACGCTGATATACAATGGGTTTTTCAAGTTGAGAAACCTTATAACACCGTTTCCCATACGTAACGTTGTATCTCTTATGCCTCTCCTCTTCACTGAGTTCTTTTTCTTTGTCCATGTCACTATCGTGGTAATACCACGCGGCTACTTCGTATCTTTTAGGCCCGCTGTTTTCGCGTTCGTTTTCTTTATAACATAACAGGTTCTTTCGCCCGCCAGTTTTGGCTAACTTCACGTACTTTGAATCAGTTTCCAATACTCTGCCCACATTTCGATATTTGTTTTCAGTAACTAGCCTGGTTGTCTCGTTAGTCAGGTCCGGCACTTGTGAAATAGGAACACGCTGAATTGGTTTTGAGTCTGGCTTTTGACGAGGAACGTAATAACAGTACCAAATTTCTTCCCTCTCTGGCCTGTCCAAAGGCTTGTAAAAGGGCTTGGCCATATTACTTAAAAAGCCTCCAGGCTATACTTCACGAGTCTTTCCATACAATCTGAACGAAAGTGATTCACTAACAGAATGAAAATTAATCCTCGATGGTGCGTCAAGTTGAAAGCTTTTTCACAATTTTAAACATTTGAACAAAAAAATTACATCAAAGGATTTTTAATGAGTATTGTTTATCTCTCTACTAGCTAATGAGAAAGGGAATTGTCCACCGCAATTGTAGGATGTCGAAAACTTTTATAAACAATTCTTTCACGAGAGAGTTTAGTAGCTTGAAACTTGCAGCTGTAGTCAAAACTATATTCTTGTGCGGACGGATGGATGTTAAACGAAAACGAGTACGATTCAAATTAGGGCGAAAACAAACAGAAAAAATCCATCTTCGCTACTCATTAGCACTTGATTTAAAAGTGAGAGATAAACAGATAAAATCAACACATAATAAACACACTTTGATGATTAGGTATAACAAAGTTTTGGAATCATGCTCTCGGTAGTTACAAACAAAGCGCACGAGTCGAAAACAAAATGTTCTTATCGTAGTTTGGAGTCGTTTTAACGAGAGATAATAAATTTAACGGAACTTACTCGTTTGAAGCCTAGCTTTGGCTCATCATTTGTCGTTGTTTCCTTAATGAATTTTATCAGAGTTCTGCGGCGCGAGGTCGTGTTCTTCAATTACTGGCGTTAGTATTCATTATTGAATTATGACGCAGTTTAGCAGCTTGCAGCCTCGTACGAAAAACTGGTGTGGAATTAGATCGATAACAACATGCATAAAAAGTAATTGGTGCGCTAATTTGTTGATCAGAGATCACGATCTGAGCCAATAAATGAGGCTAATCAAAACGGCGATAAAATTCTCGAACGATGTTGTTTTTTAGCACTTATAAAACAGTGTACGTGTCTTGGATGTGTAAGTGTAAATCACTCGTATGATTACACACCGACTTGGACTACTATAACTAATCCTCTGAGCGTAAACCGCGCTAAAATAACCAACGAACTCATAAAGCAATTTCCAGCATTGAGTGTCAAATATAATCTGGGATCGCATATTTGCTGATATTGTTTCATTTCCCTCCTGTTACTGATCTAAAAAACTCGCTCCTCCTTGCTTCAGCAATCTGACGCAAAACTGAAACCAGGGAACCTTGCTCAGTCGCGTTTTCCCGCGCTGTACGAGGGTTCCTTGCTCGCCTAAAATCTCAATAGCTCCTTGGTGGTATTCACCTATGCTCTGATTGGCTGCTAAGATCAATCTGGCTTAGCTTTCAACGAACTCGATGGAGATGGGCTCTACCAATAATTTAATTCACTTTAACTCTATCCATTTCGTTATCCTTCATGCACTCATTAAGAAATGAAGAAATTCGATGGCATTTCCAAAAGTAAGTGAACTCACTGAGAAATTGGTTGCGGTTTATATAATGAGAATAATCTTTTGTCAACAGGAGATCAAAAACTGTTTGCTTTCTCACGAAAATATGTGAATCCTGTAACCTTTTAATCCTGAGTTAATTAAATCCCGTTTATGTACTGATCTCACCGAGTCTTTACAACACTATGTCATTCTGTGGATTAGCAGTAAAACGAAGCAAGTTACCGAAATACCCTGGCGTTGTTTCACTTTCTCATGTTTTAAATAAGCTAGTTGATTCGTTTGAAAGACAACAATATACTGTAAATTGAGAAAAAAGAAAAACAGACAGGATAAGAGAACTAGGAAAAAAAAATGTAAAAGCAAAGGAGTACTCAAGGTTGACGCATAAAATGAGCGTTTAATTTCGTTTGGTAAACGACTGGGACAGTTTGCTTTATAATCTCCTATTTACACAAGAACGATAAATTCAGCTATTTTTATAACTTTCAACAGCTTTTAAAGCAAGGGAGTTCATCAAATACCTTTTCTAGATTAAATGTGTCCGTTCGGCTACAAATCAGAAAAATGGCAGCTATTCCCCTAACATGTTACCATTTGCTACGTATCATACCCGGTTCACACTTTGTACTCTGTACATTTTAAAATAAGCTTAACCCATGAATAAGCAATATCTTTTCAGTCTTTGTCCGTGAATGGCTCAGCCATCACGCCAATCTACCTCCATATCAATTTATGATCACTTCTCGCTTGCTTCTGTCGCGAAAAGTCCGACCAATGAGATGGGCGCCATCTTGGGTCTGCCTCTGAAGTGAACCCGGGATGGTAACGAGTGGAGCGTGGAAATGTGTTCGCGTTCGTTGCGTCCTCGCGCAGCGAAGAATCTGCCTCTGTGTAGCACAGGAGGTTTTTCTGACCACCAGCTTTAGACAGTCTTACAAACTCAGAATCGCTGTCTCTGATTCTAGACTTTGACTGTTTCATCACAAGCTGTTTTTCATCGAGATAGCCCCCGAGACAAGCCACTTGGGAAATCGGAGGAAGCTTCAAGCCTTCTTCCTTTGCACTCGCTTCCGCCGGGAGTTGTCTTCCCCCCATGGAAATCTGCGAAATGGGAGGCAAGATCCCCGACGTATAATTTGTCCGTTTACCACGGCGGCCAAAGCTCTGTTCTTTCAAGGCCGCTGTTTGAGCCATGATGTGAGTTTCGTGTTCTCCTACCTTATCTGCTTTTCGTTTCTGTTCAAACTCGTCCGGATTCAAGCGATTCTGAGGTAAACAGTCGATTTGCGAGATGCGTGGTAGAGTTGTTGTGTCAGTGTTTGGAAAGTTACGCATCAGCTTTATTGCGCAATTCGTTGGCGTCCAAATATTCCTCTACGTAATCGTTCCGTGACGACAAGACAAAGGGTTGCTGTTAGTTTTAAGTGCAAAACAGGGAGCCAAATGGGTCATTCCACAGACACAACTACGTTTCTGTGTAAAAAATAGTGAAAAACTTCATGACACTCCAGGCAACACACACAAAAGAGGTGCATGACAATCGTGATATGCACTTATATTTATTGAATTATTTTTTCTTTTCTCTAGAATCACATAAGCCTGGCTTGACCCCTCAAAATTTAATTGATTCATCGTTTAAATATACCCCTCTCTCATCGCCATGGGAACACATGATCGAAATTGATACAATATTTTATAATTGATTTTCAAAGAGTTTGTCTGCTTCCTAACAGAAAAAAGCGAGTCAAACAGGATAAAAATATCTTTTCAAAAAATACATCAGTCAATCTGTTTTTCTAATCCTTGAGCTCAGGCTGGTTCAAGAAAATTACGTTTTAAAATGCGACAGCCTGTTCGGTTTTTCGGAATCACTAAATAAACCCAAAAATTATTCAGAGATCACGAATACGTTTTAACTTCAAGGATACAATACTGTAAGATTGACAGAAAAATATTCGTCATGTTTATCCAAGCAAATCACTGTCAAATTGAAAAGGAATAACTTAAAGCCGTGAGAACACAAAGAGTGGCAATTACTAGCAAAAATAAACTTAGGGATTAAAAAGACAAAACAACGAAAGGCCTTTACTGTAATTATTTCACCAAAATGTAAATTCTTTTTCACACGTAAGGAAATGTGGTGTTAAATTCGGAAATTTGGATTTTCAGGTCACATGTTAATGTTAAAAATAAATCCTTGTCGTTAATCTGTCATCTGCCGTAAAGTTGATGAGCTGTAGATGATTGCAACGGAAATTATGCCAAGTCATTTCATGTTAACAGCGCTCGAATAAATCTTTTTAACCAAAACGAAGAAGGTACTTTAATACATAAATATTACCACGTAAAAAGTCATGCTCTGATCCATTGCTTCCCCATTTCGTCGACTTCCTTTCAAAACGAAAGGAACTGTTGTTTCGACCCGATTCCTATCACTTACAAACAGCAATTTTAACCTCAGAAGAAATAGAGAATTTCTGTATCAAGGTACTTCGCTGTCTGTCGGGAAAAACCGCGAAAACTGCCTAAAGGTTTTGAATATCTATGTAAGAACTACGTTTCAGAAAATATGTTATGCTCGAAAAAATATAGCGAAGGTGAACACCGTCGACTTCGACGTGTTAAAGCTTAAAATTTAAATTTCGGGAACCAGACTCACTTTCGCACAGCTAAGCTATGCTTGCATAATCCGTCGAGTCCGTTTACTTTCCAATAGGTTTCACTCACCTGTGCAACTAAAGAGTTACTTCCCAAATGCAACAACGGCGAAGGAAAAAATCCTCGCTGATCGTGCCAAGCAAAGCTGACGAGATAAACGCACTATAGCAACACAATCAACAACGATTCTGCGTGTGTCACCTTTGCTCTCCACTGTTTGAAAATGACGACAGGCGACGTACCCCGGATGTGGCCAAGTGACATTAAAATCCCTCGATTTGTTTACTCTGGACACAACGAACATTTTCGTTGAAGTTTATTTAATTTACTTTAAAGTAAACAATACTACGCTGTTGTATAGGAACCAATTTGTGACATACATGATAGCACGCGGAGTTTCCTAACCAAAAATATGATGAATAATTTATGTATTGGCGCAGACAAGCGATTTGTTGTAACTAATGAAGTGTCTCATTCCTGAAAAAAACTGTGTAGTTCTGGTCATGAAGTTTTTTTACAGTAAGTGTACCCTTGTCCTGAGTGGAACCCTTATCGATAGTTTGTCTTTTTTTAATGTGTTCTCGTACGAATGAGCCCATTTTATCTTTTTTTTTTTGGTTTGTTTCTTTTAGTTTTTTAGGGGAGAAATTTTAGTTTTGCGGCGCGGCTTCAAATTCTACAATTTTTTTCCCGCACACTCAGCCGGTGGGAAAACGAAACAGATGGAAAAACATGGTTTTGATTAACCGCCAGAGTATTACATGAAGTGGATGCAAGGATTAAAAGAGCTTCCAGCGCATTAACCTTCCTTTACTGTCGAAAAAAAGAAAGAAAGCAAAAACCGAAACGTCTCAACCAGAATTCATTGGTCTTCAGCAACTCGCCGTTCCTTGCAATATCGTTTTCCTCTCCTAAACCCTTTGACCCGTAAGTGTGATTAATAACTATTTTACCCTATCAGTATCACCCTTAAAGCAAACATCGAGGTCATGAGAATAAAGGAAATGATCTCCAACAAAAGAAGCTCTTGGTTTTCAAACAAATTCTCGTTGTCAGTATCAAATGAAATCTATAGAGAACATTATGGAGAAAATATATACTGATGTTAGGGTGTAGAAGTTTAATTTCCATTGAATGTTTCAAACTCCACATTGGAATATCAACGAAGCACGCCTGTAATAATATTATCCGAATCTCCGCTGTTACTGCCGGCCCGACACAATGTACTTCATAGGATACTTTGTGATATAGCAATTAAATTAGAAAAATCGTTTCACACTGGGATCAAATTGAATGTTTTGGGTTCGTTACCTTAGCAACAAGGTACGACCACGGTAACACAGTTTTCGACTTTGTTTTAGACATCACGGCTCTGAGAAACATAGGAAAATGAAACCAGGTCAATACACAATTCAGGTTTGTCAGACTAACGGCTAAGCACGAAAATGATAGTACAGTGGGGAGCCACAACTAATTTCGTCTTCATTGGGGCAATCATCGTATCGCAGACGAGTTTGTATCACCGCCAGCGACCGTGAAATTCTTCGTACTAATAGCTATGAGGCAGTTCGAAATATCTATTTTATCAAACTTACCTTTCTTCTTGGAAAGAGGGAAAGAGAATTTTGGTATCACTAAAACAAAAACGTGTGTGATCAAAATAACTTTTCAGAGGGAAAAGTGATCGTGTTTTTTTCGGTTTAGAAGTCGGAACAAATCCCAATAAACCAGTCGAACAGCCGTTATGGGTCAACTGAAAGAAAAGGGCAGATCAGGAGATCGCTTATGAAATATTTCCATTTCTTTAATTAAAACAATGATTCTGCAAACTGAGGACTCTTTGATATGCATGCAAATTACAAATCCAACCGCCTACGCAAGTAGATAAATACGAGTCCAAACACGAGAATTCGCCACCTGCTGAGCTGCTGTCAAATCACTTGCCGACGGGAGTCTTATGGGGTTTGTTTCCTTGGAAACTGTCATCAAAAGCGAAGGCAAAGGTTGCGTTTTCAGTAGATGTTATCTTAATTCACAGTGAAAAGAAACCCGCGGGAGACAATACTGCGCTGTCTGGGTTTTCCTCCGATGTAATCTGCTGAAAAATTTGGAGATTCACTCGCTGCTTTATCTCAATTAGTAAAGTTTATTGCTGAGTTTCAGTGGAGAATTATCACAGCTACAGAAATTATAATTAACGCCATTTCTTCTGAATATTCGTTTTAACGCGAACTAATGTCGCAGAAACATCTGACTTCCTGCAAAGATCTCGCGGAAAGGAAATCCTCAACTTGGAGGAAGGACAAAGAGTCTTGGAGGGATTCTCGCATCAAGTCTGCAATTCTTTACGGAAAAGCTACTCCGATACAGAGTTACAGAGGTGTGCATTTAGTCCGTTTCGAGCACGAACACGGGAAAGATGGTCCGCTCGTAGTCATAGCCGAGGAATGGCCTTTCCGCTCGCACAAGTCTTTGACAAATCCAGCGCTTCCAAACGTCAGTAAACAAGCTGGTAAACACTTCAAGGTCATTTGTTCTTACAAAACAAGCAAGGAATGTATCAATGCTGATGCTGGAAAACATTTCCTGAAATGACACTACTTAGAAAAGTAGCATAAACTCGTAAAAGTTATCAGCTTCTATTTACATTAAACCGATGACGAAATTCTAGGTGCACCTTGCATAGTAATTTTGCACTACAACAGAGGAGGCAATGACGACAACAGTGTCGTAAAGAAATTCCATTTACTAGTAAAAATTTTCATTGAAAGCCTTTGGCCGTGGTTGATTTCAAAACGTTCTTTAACCCTTCGGAGCTCTACTCGGCCAGCGGCTGTGGTAAGTCGTTTCCTGGCAACATTGAGACCTCGCGTGTCAACTCGTGGGGGTTCTTTTCTTTCAAGCGTGAGGTGAAGTACATGCAGATAAGTTTTTCCAACCTTACACCTCACGCCTCACTTTATGCACTACGACATCTCAATCTACAGCCATTCTTCCACGGGTGTGCCTCTGCCACTGAAAGATTAACGCAACAAAAAAAAACAACAACAACAACATTCAACTATTAAGTGCGGGTTTCGATTATGTGTCGAATAAGTAGAACATAAGTTATTATGGGGGGGGGGGGGCCCTCCCGCTTCCAAACTTTGATTTAAAGATCATATGATCTTTTTTGCACCATGACCTATGCAAACTAAGAAATATTTCAAGAAAATTAAATTCTAAATATTTAATACTTTGTAGTATCATGCGATCCTGTTTCTGCAAGATTTTCTCTGTCACACAAGTAGTAAACAAACCAACGGGTCCAAGAGGGGCCTGCTTCCCTCACCCTGGGCCCCACTACAGCTAAAAAACGAGAACTCAAATAGCAGGAAATCACAAATAACCTGTTCGATATTGGTTTTAGTTTTGCTGGTAGTACTTTATTGCCGCCTCGCCAAAGAGTCCTGTGCACCTCAGTTGGTAAAGCATTCGACCACGGAATCGGAGCTACCTTAGGGTTCGAATCCTTCTAGGAAGGCGGGAGGGAAGATTTAGAATTTGCTTAGTTACACGCGTACAAGCCCTACCTGCTGTTACTTCCGCTGTCCATAGGATTGGAGTAAAGCTCGGCTTTGTTCCCTGTCGACTGAAGCCTGCCAGCAAATTCCTCGTGCCGCGAGGCTGCTATTGCGTTCATTTTACTGTTCCACATCGAGAGAAGAGAACTTCCTGGGCCTGGAAGAAACGAATCAACCGTCAACATGAATCAGTGTCCTTTTGCCTCACTGACAATTCACGGTAAAAGGAAATCATCTACGCGTACACATTTTTTCTAACACCAAAATTGAGCCTCATCACATGGTTTTTCACCTCTACCCGTCTGTTTATTCATTCCATGTTGATTATCGGTACGCAATCTCTTGTGCGCCTGCTCCGTAACCGCTGACGCAATACTTCTTTTGAAGAAGTGTTCATTGTTTGTATCTCCGCGATTGAAATCAGTCTTCTCGCGCTCCGTCATACTTTGGTATCTGAAAGAGATTATTTAAAAGCAAAATTTATCATGAGATTACCTCCTTTATTTTCTATCGTTACACGAGGACGAGTTGTGGACGCTCCGCCGCGTTGAAGTCTCCTAACTAACGAAACAAGTGCGCAAAGTAAGGAGAGGTTACAAATTCAGGGGGAAAAAACCTGTTACAACCTTGAGAAAGAATAAATTGAACGCGATTCTTTTTGAGAGTAATAATTAAAGAGATAAACACTACAGCTGCTATATACTTTATAAACTGACCTGTCAATCTCCTGCCAAGAGAGCGAAACTTCTGAAAGTTTGGAATGATTATTTTCTGTAGAAGAGAGAGAAAAGATTAACGCCTGCGGAAGCAATAGGGTGAAACCATTCCAAGTTGTCTTCCGAGGGTAGGCAGGTAAGGCAGTTACATTTTCGTGCATTTGAATATAATTTTTCACGGTAACGAACCTCAAGCAAAAAGATTTTACGTTTCGTTTCACCCTTTAATCCCTTGGAGTAACTTGAGTCTAATTTCTCCCCACAATATCACACATTATGAATAAAAGAAATGATCACCAACTAAAGAGGCTCTTGATTGTTGAAGAAAATTCTCCTCGTAAGCACCTCAGGAATTGTAAAGAGAACAGCATGTAGACTAAGTCTACTGATAATAGGCTGTAACGGGTTTTAAATATTTTTTTCTCGATAGACACTCAAATTGCTTTTGTGTCGTGCATATTTTGCAAGTAAAATGCAAGTAGAAAGGGAAAGAATGAACCACGAGGCGAGATGGGTGAGCGATATACCCACTTTCAAGTTCATCTGTAGGTGTCTCTCTCCTTGGGCTGTCTGTGGTACTACTTGACGGACTGGTGCCACGCAGGCATTCCAACACCTTCGAGAAAAAAATACAAGATACGACTTGGAATTATTTCGCTAAACAAGATATATTTTGGACACGCAATTCCGAAGAAATCAGAGCTTCATAAACAGTCAAGTATTCACATGGTCAAGGGTTGAAACTAGTGGGATTCGACTAATTAAATCTCTAAGTTCTTGTGAGGGATGTCTTAGGCAACGAGACTTGAAAGCGTGAAAACGTGCTTTTTACGGGGGTCGCCAAACTTTTCGCCTTTGTATCCACTACTCTGCGTAAAAAAAAAATTGGCGTCGATAATCAAGTAAATGGTTTAATAGATCCATGCCGTTTTAAAGAAGAACTGTTGTCGTCACCTTTTCATGCATTTTGGATGTTCTACTGGCAGCTTCTAGGTAAGTCTCCAATTCAGCCCAAATCTGCCGATACTGTTCCTCTCTGGTAAAAAAAAAAAAAACAAACAAAAGACATCAGTCATATAATCTGCTTGCGAAAAGTTTACGTAATTACCCAAAGCAATAATATGTGCCCGGAATAAAATCTATGGTTCAAATTTTTTCATGCGCTAGTAACATAATTTCCCGCGCCTACCAAAGGAAATGGAACTTCTCGCCCTTAACGCAATCTGTATATATCTGCGCTTCACACCAGTTGTAACTTTTTGTCTTCCGATTGGTTTATCGTATCGTCAATCACAGATGTGATTTGCTATTACGTATTTTCCTACGCTTACCAGATGTGATTGAGATTTCATTCCGTTACAGTAGTTTCATTCTTCCCGGGCCCGACACCAATTGTATCTTTCCTACTCCTGATTGGTTCATTGCACTGTTCATCATTGTTCTGATTGGTTAATTTGTATTTTCCCCACGTTTGCAAGATGTTACATAACTTACCGCCCATGAAAACCGCTTAGTTTCTTACCGCGGTCGACATCTCTCGTATCTTTCTTAATTCTGATTGGTTATAAGCGTTGTTCATCACCGTTCTAATTGGTTGGTATTATATAAGTTACCTTTTCGGTCCTTTTCCTCTGATTCCAGTCATAGACACTGGTAGCGGATCATTCCTACTTTCCATGGCTTGAACTCTGTAGATAACCTATATTTCCAAAACAAAAACAGTTGTTTAAGCATAGTCAACGTAAATCTTTCATCCAGCTTGGCGCCTTTCATTTAGTTTCGCTTTCAGTGTGAAAAAACTTCACAAGAGACACTCCAATACACGTCAAAAAACCTTTAACTCTACTCCTGTTTTAACTCCGTTTTACTAACTAAACGCCCGGAACAAGCTAACTCTAATCAACCGTGGAAAGTCAATTCTGAAACTTATCCTAGCTCTGATGTGCAGGCGTTTTTTATCTATCTATTTATTTACTTTTCACCAGTAAGAAATAAAAGTAATGAAATCCATGTTCTTACTCTTTTACATTCAAGTACATCATTTTCTGTAACAGTCTCCTTCGCCATAAGTGTTGGTAGAGGTTTTAAAAGCTGTTTGAATGTGCAACATATGAACAGAATTAACTTCCACTACAGAAAAAAATATATGAATACTTTTAAACATTCACAATGGAGATGGCCCTTTCACGTTTTGAAGAGGTGTCTCTGTGACATTTTAGCAAAAAAAACTCTCAATGGTTGACGACATTGTCAATACTTCCATACCTGCATCATGTTACAAAGCAGTGTTTCACCGATCACCATGGGCCAGTATCTTGTACAGCGCTCCAGTCTTGCCAGACCTACAGAATATTTTTCCATTTAAAGTTAACATACAGAGCTACTTCCATGACTAACACATGTAGGTTATCCACGGTTTCCGCAAAATGGCAGTTGACTTCATTTGTAAAACTTAAATACCTTTATCTAGGGGCGACTTTCCTTTCTTTTTGTTCCATGAACAAGGCGCAAGTCTGTTTGCTTTCATGAATTCACCAAAATCCTTAAAAAAAACATATTTGACGAACAACTTTTAAAATGAAACAATTTTCGTTACCAGTCCTATGCGCACAAACTTGACCAATGATCCCATGTATACTACTGTCGAATCCCGATAACTCGAACCTCGCGCTAACTCGAACCAAAATATTTTTCTCCTTGATTTCCGCCATGCATTTACTCCGTGTACTGACTTCTCTATCAATAAATTTGATTTAAATACAGCCTGTATGAATAGAAAAAACGCTAAACACCGTTTTTCCCCCACATCCGGTCCTTTGTTTTCACTCCCGATAACTCGAAGCTTTTTCAACTTTTCTTACATATATATATACCTGTTTTCAAAAACGTTCCAATTCGAAAAAAAAATATATGAAACATATACACATTTTGTTTCCTCGCACAAATGGTATAAATGTATTATGTATATTTTCAAATTCCAACGTTTTTGAAAACGTATTTATATTTATTTATTTATATCTTAAATTTAATCAGACTCACGTTGATTCTGTAGTCTGTTACTCGGCCGCCACACCCTTCACTAATGGATGGGGGATCTTCCATTGGGGTACGGTACGTCGCTAAGCAATGTATAAAAATATCACCTGAAAGAACAAGAGTATAAGAATTTGAATGGGGCTGCTGCTAATGAATTCAACCTTTAACCCTTTTAACTCTTTGAATCCAAAGAGTGACCAGCATCCAATTTCTCCTTAAAATATCACCCCTGAATCACACATTAGGGTCAGGAGAATAAAGGAAACGATCATCAACTGAAGAAACTCTTGATTGTTAAACAAATTCTCCTTGTCAGCATCTTAGGAAATATATACAGAACAGTAAGGAGAATATGCATAATGATGTTGGGGTGTAAAGGTTTAACTCCTAAAAGTGACTTGGATCCAATTTCTCCTTAGAGCATCCTTGATGAATCATACATTAAAGTCATGAGAATAAGGAGCATGATCGTGAACTAAAGAAGCTTCTGATTTTCAAACAAATTCTCCTTATCAGGACCATAGGAAATGTATTAGGAGTTGTATGGGGAATATTCATATTGATATGAGGTATAAAAAGGGGTTAACAGAAGCATGTAAGGTAAAAGCCTGCAGAACAAATGACATTTTTTTCTGTTGATCTTCCCTTTGTGCTGCTTTCTCACTTATCTCTGCTAACTTGAAAAACATCTAGCAATTGATACCTGTCTCTCTCCCCCCCCACTCCCCCAAAACCAGCTGATGAGGTAACTAATGCAAAAGCTCCTTGATACCTCCATGACTTGCCAGAATATGGGACACCAGTTTTCCACCAGACTTCTTAGGCTGCTCTAACATAACTTGTCGACCTGTCAGGAAATAACAAATAAGACCAACAGGCCAATCAAAAGGCTAAGGACCAAGGAAAAAGAATCAAGGTGAACTAATTTTTCTTGTTTTTTGGGCCCTGTTTGTTCTTTTTTTGTTCAGAAAGGGAAAAGTCTTTCTGAAAATTTTATCACTGCTTTTGGCCTTAAAACAAATCTCTGCCTCACTGTCTGCATTCTTCAGAAAAACAAAGGCATAATAATATTATATATTTCTGAATTAATAAAAGTTTTGTGTGGAGAGGTACTAAAACATGAAATTTTTTCTTTGATGTGTTATTTTTTTTTAAGTTTACCTTGTAGCAGGAAAGAAATGAGGCATGCTGTAGGTCTACTGTTGACCTGCACAGAGAGAAAATGCAATGTTCAACTAACTCACATCAGTGTTTATAAATATTCAGTGAAAATATAAGTTTAACCACATAATTTAAATGTTTTAATGAATACAAAATAAATTTAAAAACTTTCAGATCATTTACCATGATGTAAAATTCAACATTACCTCTACTGGTGTGATCCTATAACAACCAATACAAGCTTGAAGCTCTGAAACAACAGAAGAAAAGTCTGGTAAAAAATAACAGTAAATACAGCCACACACCAAAAAAAGGAAAAGGAATGATTTCTCAGTGGAGAAAATTCAGATGTTGTGGTGGAATAACCTTTATTGGTTTTAAATCTATGAAACAAATTTGATTTTTTCACCTTCCTTTATGTCAGGAAATGACAACGAGCAAAAGACAAAGGCAAGTAAAAATGATAGTTGTTTAAAAAGTTTTAAACTAAGGAAAAAAATTGAACCACTACACATATCTTCAGTCAGGCAGAGGAGGTGTAGCATGGACAGGACGGGAGGTGGGGAATGGGCAGGGCAGGCAATGGGGAATGGACATGGCAGGAAGTGGGTACATACCTGGTGCAGATGTTGTCTTGGGTGTGCACCACTTCAGATGAACAGTATCCTTAGATGTTCCAGGACTTTCCTTTTTCCCCGGTGCAGTTTCATCACCACAAAACACGTCTATAATAATTTCATAAAATCATGTAAATAATTAGTCTGTAGTGTGCAGCATGTAATTTTGGGAGAGACATGCTGGCTTGCCAGTCAAACACTGGGAAAAACTTAAAATTGCATACTGACAAACATCAAACATGGTTGTGGTATGGAGGCAATCTTACTTGCAACAGCCTGCTCCATATGCACTTGAGAGGAATGGACAATTTCCACATCATAGTTAGCTGAGCTTCCAGAGTGCTGCTCTTCCTGACAAACAAAAAATTCATTGGCAAAAAAATCCCTTCAGTCTACAGTTGTAATAAACCCTTGCTGCACATCTGGGCATCACCAAAAACCAAAAATTTCTTTTTGAACTCAAAAGAAACAGAATATTAGAGGATGGTGTCCACCACTAAAAAAATATCCTACTTTCATTGGTATCCCTGTGACTGTTGTAGACTTCAGATGAAAGTGCTTTTGTGCCATGATGCTGAGTTTACTAACCAGCTGAGATGCTTTGTGGGAGCTGATGGTTATTGACAGCAAAGATGATCCCTGGAAAAGTGCACAATATTTTCATCTTTATTACAGCTAAACTTATGACTGACATTGTATTTAAAATATTTTTCTGTTGTCATCAATTTCCAAACAGGACTTTGAATATAATCTACAAAGAAGCTATCTATAAATTTTGAAGGTATCAATGGGGTGTTTTGGCCAAGAAAAAATATCACTTCAAATCAACCCCAAACTAATTTTTCCTTTCAGGTGATTCCTCAGTATTGCACTGCACACCTTGTACTGCACACAAAAATCACATAATCAGGCCAATGAGCCTGTGCACATCTCAAGGACATGTCCTGTATTATTTTTCAATCAATTCACCAAGTAAAGAGGCACAGTGGTCATTAGCTATTGAATGAGCACAGTGACCTTTTTTTTTATTTATTTTATTAATTTTGGTGCACAAATTATCACCTTTGGTACTGTACATTTATTTATTTATTCACCATATTACGAGCATTCCCTCTCTACAAGGCTTAAATGCTTGGATCCGGTCAGGTTCATAAAGGTTCTTCTAAGGCAGACCAATGAACCACCACATGATAATGAAATTATCATGCGGTGTAGAACACCAAATTCTCAATACTAGCCAATAGTAAATAATAGGGCCATATGCTTGGAGAATTAAGCTTTATGATTGCAGAAATGAGAAGGTTAAATCTCATGTCTTCAGTAATCCTATCAAGTTCATACCTTTGGTGCTTTTTCTGTAAACTTTCCACTGTCTCCACTCAAAGGGACATGAATAAAAATGAGGTCTACATTCTTGATTGGTTGGACACTAAAAAGGTGATTTTTTGCACAAAAATTGCTATCACTCCAAACTATCTCTGTACCAACAAACAGGTCTACCATTAAATGCCTTACATGTATAACAAGAATGGTTTGTATTGGTTCAAAGGGCCAGATGGAAGTCACTTTTTTCTCTTTTAGTATGGAGAATACAAAAAAGTGCCAGAAATCACAAATCAAAACTAGGATATATTCCCACTGATATAAACATCATTAATAAAAAATCCTAGAACATCTCTTGTTTAATGACATTTAATAAGAATAAAAGAGAGAATTTATACATGTCTAAAGAATGAAGTCAAGTTAACTTAACTAATTTATTCCAGTTATTATCTAAGCCTAATTGTAAGTAACCTCAGTAGTGTATGTGGTTTGTTCCAAGAAAATGTAATGTTATTAATAAGATTAAGTTTTTTAGTCTTTAATTTTCTTACAAAATATTGTAAGTAAAAAAGAAACAAAGAATGAAGTCAATAAAAAAAAAAAACAAACAAACAAAACACACACAAGAAAAATGACCTCAGGAGAAATTTCTTTAAATTTCTTACCTGTCACTTGAACCCACTCCACTGTTCTGTTGTTCTAGTATATCAGTAGCACATGCTACAAGAGCATGGACATGGCCTTCGCTAAAAGAAATGGTAACACAATTTTAACTGGCTGATCTTGGAGGATCCATTTTCCGATACACCTGCACAATACATAAAACAACTTGAATGGAGCAACCAATCTTTTCATCAAGAATGAATATCTTGTCAAGCAGAAAGGTGTGGAGAAAAACAAAAATTTTCAATGCAAGGATACTTTGTAAGTTAACATCAAATTCTCAGAACTAAAATGATTAGAAATGTTTGACCAACAGTGTAGAGAATTGATATTTGGATCTTGGGAGTCAAAGGGTTAACCTTTTAACCCCCAAGAATGACTAACATCAGTAATTTCTCCTTACAGTAGATAAGGTCATTAGAGTTAAAAGAAATAATCAACTTAAGAAGTGTTCAGTTGTTAAACAATTTCTACTTGACAGTACAATAAGAGATGTAAAATGAACAGATTGAAGAATATGCATAACAAAGTTTGGATGTAACGGTGAACACAAGGAAAATAAAATGGATACATGTACTTAATTTAAAAACAATTCTTCTTTTTGCGAATACTATTGGTTAAGTCTAGTAACCAAATTATTACATTTAAAAATAACATCAAAGCCACTGAAATAAAATTGATGCTAACAAATTAAAGAAAGCTAATTTTGGAGAGCTGAACATTATGACACAAGTTCACTTTTAGGACATAACAAAACAGGACTGACTTTTTCAAGTTTGTGATGCAAATAATCCTTCCTGTATCAACAGAAGAAGTTGTTTGATGCGTTTTGGAGTTTTGAGGCGGTGGTTCATAGAGACATTGGACAGCTGATGTTAGTCCATATATCATGGAACAGTTTTCTCCATTATCTTCCTTAGGGGATCCAAGGCCAGCAAAAGACTTTAATAGCTATCAAATACCATTAAGAACAATGAATTTTATAGCAATTAACTAACAAGGAGTTAAGGGAAAGATCAGGTCAGGTATCTGTTCAAATAAAAGTCATTTGGAGGAAGAGGAAATGGATTGGGCACTCCTTGAGGAAAAATACTGACAGTGTTCCTAGGTAACCCTTGAAATGGAATCCCTCAGGCAAACAGAAAAGAGGATGCCCAAAACAATACCTAGCAGCAAGATGTTCAGGCTGAGATGAAGAATTGCAGCCACACCTGGACCACACTTGAAAGGCAAGTCCAGGACAGGAAGAGGTGGAGAAGGGAAATTGTCAATGGCCTATGTCCAGAAAAACATAAGGGAATTAGAATGAATTAAAGTCAAACCTGTATAAAGCAGTCACCCACAGTAAATTTGTGTGTTGACTGCTAAATACAGGTTTGAGTCTACCTACAGAACAAGAATAAGCCCCAGTTTTTAGTGTTATTTCTGGTTTAAGCTGATAAAAATCTGTACAGTCTATCCGGTCAGTGACAGGGTCTATTTGCCAACAAGATTTTGAACCTCAGATACAAGTGTACTGAGCTTATAAATGTAATTTGATAACATCCTTACCTGTGGAACACACTGCTGTTCATGAGACCAAGAGTTCATCACATGGGCATCATCATCAGAAACAACTACCTTGACCTTAGAAAAGAATGCAAAATATTATCGAAAAAGACCAATTTCTTCTTGTTGTTTTTTTGCTTTTAATTTAAAGTCCTTTTCTTTCTTACTCTACATTTCATCAGGCAAAATTGCCTTTGCATGTACAAGATCTCGTCGAGTTCCCCCACACTCTGCAGACTGGGTTTTCTACAGTAAGATTTTAGCTCTTATTTCTTACGGAGAGCGTTAAAAAATTCAGTACCTCTACCCCTTCTTAGCCCCACCCTTCATCTTCCCCTCCTCACCAGTACATATCTTCTCGCCGCTCAAAACAACTGCGACTGGATAATACTTTAAAAAAAAAAGGGCAAGATTCCCACACAGCCCCATACTTCATTATGCATACAGTTATTGGATCTGGAAAACAATGGCGAAAAAACAAAGGATTACATTTGGGGCTACGGTTCTGTTTAAGAATAGTGTGGGGTTATACGGATATCTTTCCAAAAGGGAAAGACTTGTTTTCCAACCTATCTAGCGTAAATTACGAGACGAGGAAAATTATTTACACACAAATCAATATAGCACGAAATAAAAAATGTGACCAGACTTACCAGATACTCATTTGGGAATATATCGTACACAATTCTACAGTACTCGACTGCCGCTTCGATACTGCATGTCCAAGAGCTCTTGAAAACAGGTGAAGAAGTCGAGCTGGAACCTTTGCTCTTGCTTTTTTTCCCTCCACCATCAAAGTCAATATGCTGCTTAGACAACGTCAGAAATTTGGAACTGTGATCTAACACAATCACAGTTCTCTTCATAGGAGCTTTTGCTTTATCGCTAGCCATCGTAAGAGACTTTTACAGCCACGGAAAGCGTGGCTTACTTTCTATTACTTTTGTCCGCCATGTTGAAAGCCTGGTCACAAAGCAGGTTACAGAACTCTAAGAGTTCATGCAGATTTTACGCGCCTGTCACGTTTTGTGACTCGCTACATGGCCACTGTAGTTTTTGCCATGATGAATTTGTTTTTGCTGTGACCGATTTGCTATTGCCGTGGTGACTTTTGAATTGTCGTAATTGGTTTTGTTTTTACCGTGGTTGTTTGGTTTTTGCAATAAGTAATTTGATAGTTGTCGTTTCAAATTTGATATTGGCGTGACAGTTGTGGGCCACCGTACTCCTCAAATTTCACGTAACTCAAGAGGGAGATCTGAACGGAGGTTTCAGTTTCAGCGTTTTCTCAGTTGATGTGGTCAGTGCTAGGGAGAAAGCTGCTACTGTGGTCGGAGGTGAATGAC